TCTAAATTAAAGTAGTTTTTTTTAACTTTAATGATTACAATTCATGTGTAACTTTGCAGAACAGGTAAATCATTTAGAAACTTACCTATATAAGTCCTTTCCAGATGATATTCCAAATACCTGCATTTCCCCAACGAAATAATTCCCTACGCTGACAGATTTCGATGAATAAGCATGTAATTCCAAGGTTGTTAACGTGGTCTTCATCTCAAGGGACAATGAACTGTGCTTCCCAAGTGAGCTGCTCGCCAAACTTGCTTGTTAGTGGTGTAGGAAGTCTCCAACTCTGTTCATTCATATCGATAGTATTTTATAACTTGAAATGAGCATATTTCCGCAGCTACCTTCCACTTGGACTTGGTTAATAAAAAATTGTGTTCGCCCTACGATCCACCGATGGTGCCGACTGCATGTCTCTGTGTATGACTTCATACCAGTACGCACGCACTACGCGAGTGAATGAGAAAAGGTAGTTGTGCCGGGCCAGGACTAAAGCTACGGACATGTACATCGCTAACCAGCGCTGCATGGACAATAGATGAATTTCATCTCATGGCTCAAAGCATCAGTAAAAACCCTTGTTCTTTTGTACATTGGACAATGGTAGTTAAGTCGTCGAAACGACTCAAACGGTGGAGATTCCTCGATGAAAGAATCTCTTTTTCGCTGTTTCTTCCCAACATAAATGCCTTTTAGCTGAAAACGTATCAAAGGGCCCCCGAAATCCCAGACATTATATTGGCGTTCTGTCATACGTATGCCATTACCCTAACCAAAAACCTTTTAGTGTCGCTTAAGAAAAGTTAAACTATTTCTTTACTCATTTCAAACCAGTCAAGTGACAGATTTTCGACCAATAAGACGAGGCACACTAAGGTTTTCAAAAATGTTAAGTTAAAGCCCTTATACAGTAGAAACTCGAACTCTGCATGTCACTTCGGCTATTTGAAAAATCTATCAACACTTGTTTGCCTGAGAATAAGAGAAATTAAATAACTGAAAAAGGCAGTTGGTAATGCATCAGTGGCTTATCCAACAAGGAGGGCAACTTGCCCCTTCCCTGACGGTTTTTAACTTCTTACAAAGAGTACTTCAAAGGTGAGTAGGAAAGAAAGTAATCGCTACAACCAAACCCTAAAACAACAACACCAGAAAATAAAAGCAAGGATGTCGGGACCGTAAGGCCTTTGATGTTTTTTCTCCCCAACACCATGTTGCCCTCTTGATACCAACAGCTGGATACGCTGCTGTAATGCAATAATCAAAGTGAAGTCAGAATGGAAAAACATTTTCTTGTTTCATAATTATTTATATCGCTGCACCCATCTTGAATTTATCCGCTAGGTAACAAGCGATGCCCCCCAAACTGCAACTGTGGCTATGAAAATGAGGATTTTGTAGTTCGATGTCGACAAGGATGGAATCTGGATACCATTGCCAACGTTGCAAAAAAGACCAAAGCTCTGTAAGATTCACTAAAAATTCTTTTGCTTTCCGTGCTTGTTTGAAAAGTTGGCTTGACAGATTAGTTGGATAAAGAACGTGAATATTGCAATTTTTTAAATTTCAAATTGCCTCGGAAGGTGTGACTGAATGTACATGCCTCATATTGCCACTGGAAGAGTGCAAGGTTTATTCCGTTATTTTATTCAGTAAAACGGTTACACAATAGAACATTCTTTTCCTACTTGATTGATTTAAAGTGAAACAAAAGTCCCTAAGTTTATTCGCAAAGGGGACGCCTATTGCAAGTCTTAATGCTACAGTCACAGACAAAATTCACTTTTCTTATTCTTTTTCATTTTTACAGTGAAATTTCCTATGGCGAAATCAGTACTCTTGAGCTTGGTGTATTCAAAGGACTGCCCTATCTACAGGCACTGTAAGCAAAACATTGTAATGCATCAGAATGAAAGTTAATCTTCCTTTTTATTTTACTTTACTTATTACTATTCATGACGCTATGCTGCATAGCGCTTGGTGGACGGCGCCATTATCCATTTCGCGGGACATGTTTTTTTACGCAGCTCGTTCATGACTACGGTTGCGCCAAACGGTAATAACACACTTCAATGTGGCATATGGCTTCAGCCGCTTCGACACACGCAAGTGTTACTAAGCCTAAGGGGCCCTATGGAGAATTTGCCTGGTAGCCATCTTTCAGGCCCAATTTTTGTTCCACAGGGAAACCTTTGTGCATACCCTGTATAATAGTATTGGCCTGCAAGGTAGTAGCTGTGGAAACCCCCTATAGCGAAGCATTTTGGGTGAGGCCTACGTTGTACACCCTTCCAGGGCTTATCATTAAAAATCGAAGAATGCTTTCTGAAGGAAAGCCAGAGTAGCCTTTTTCCAATAAACATCGAGTCTCCAGTATTTCCCCGTTTCGCCCGGACTTCATCCTTATTCATGCAACGTTCACAATTTCAGATCTCTTGAAAACAACAGCATAGAGAAGATAGAGCAAAGAGCATTTGATGGGCTAAACATAACATTTCTGTGAGTATTAAAGTGTTTGTACATTCAAATTTATGTTGGCAATTATTTTGGACTACTGAGTTGGTATTATAGCCACAAAGTATGTGCGTCGTAATTGTATGCCTTTGTCTGATTTTAAGAGTTTGTTCCTTGTACTTTAAATTGGCAGAGATATCTCTGGCACCAACATAACGTCAATTGATTTGCCAATTTTCGAGGAGCTCGATCGACTCGAGACATTGTAAGTGCCACTTTAAACTTACAGAGGGAGAAACCGAACCTTTGCGGTAGGGCGATATACAGGGTGTCTACATAAAATTTATACCGAGATAAAAATTACATTAAGAAGTCAGACATTAAAATGTCAGATGTGCATTGACAGGAATGGTAGCCATGTGGAGGGCACAGAACATTACCGTATGAGGTAAGTAGCAGAAACAAAGCAGATTATATTGATTTTGGTACAAGTACATTGTACATTCCTTATTTTCAAGAATACGTTCTTACAGCAAAGGCATTTGGTATTCTGCTTACTTGCATGGTTGAGTCTCGTTAATCACATATGCAAACTTGTCACAGTACCGATTTCAGTACCCTTAACATCGGTCTAGCTTATTCACTCATCTGTGTCAATAACATCACAAGCTGTGTTCCATTGGAAAGAGGGCATTGTGCCCTTTCTAGAAATATAATTTTCCCCATATATAAAGTAGTTTTGCCGTTACAGTAATTTTTATCTCGGTATACTTTTTGTGTTAAGACATTCAGCAGATGACGCCAGCAATTATATGTATCTCACACATACACCTTTCCTTATCCACTAGCTACTGGTATTGTAATTAGCGGTTTCTATTTCTTTGTTGAAACTAGGAAAAAGAGGGGTGCATACAAATTTTACGACCGTCTGTACTTTGTTTCAATTTTTTTGGGCAGGATGATGATAAACGTTCCTATCACGTTTATTTCCGAGAATGCTTTCTCCGGACTTTCAAACCTCAGAACAATGTAAGTTAAATATTTCCCTGTGAATATCGGCCACGTGTAACTCAATTTTCGGCCTCTAAATACAAAGCTCAATTTGATGTAGGGCCGAAGCCAATAGAGTGAATACTTTCTCATTCATAACCTTTAAAAACGAATTCTTTTAACTTACGTTGTCGGCTATTAAACAGCACTTGGCGAATTTTGTTTGGTACACAGATTATAAAAGTGGAAGGCAATCTTATTATGATGCAACTCTTCTTAAGAACCCAAGACCAGACGAAGCATATTTCCTAAATTAGAAAGGCAGACTGCTAAATGAGGACCGAGACAATTACTGACTGATCTGACCGAGGTCAAAGCTGTTGTAATGGTTGAAATCATCGCAGAAACTAGCAATAAACAAAATTCAAAACTTTGTTAAAATCATTTTCCCGACAACGTTTCCAGTGTGATCATAACGAACCAAAAAGACAGCAGCTTTATCACCATCGAACGAGAAGCAGTTTGGAACTTAAAGTCTCTTCAAAATGCGTGAGTAAAAATGGCGTATTGTCAACCTAATGAGAAAGATGACTTCAAGTTGTCAGACACACCGCTGTGTTGGAAGAATGCCATGAGTTATATCGATTTAAGAGTTATACTATTTTTGTTCTGTCTCTTCAATGCGGTTCTAACCCTTACAGTTTAACCCCCATATTCCTCAGTTCTTCACCCGTCGGTAAATTGAGCCCCGCTGGGGCTTATTATGAGCCGTCGCTTTAAATAGACTTTTTTTAAGCTTTAGATCACGGAAATGTGGGGCTTGTGGAGCCGAGCCAAATCCGACTAGAATGACACTGTTTCCGTTCACTTTGATTCGCTTTACAGGTATGTCGATGACTACCGGTTGTGTTGTGATTTTGCCGTGCTAGAACATTTCTCAGCCGAAGACGGCTGCATTACTACCGAGTTACAACCGCCTCTAAACCTGTGCGGAAGTCTCTTGCAGACTGAACTATTGCGTGTTGCAATGTGGGTATTGGGGTTCAGCGCCCTCTTAGGTAACGTCGTGGCCATCATTTGGAGGTTGAAAGGCACAGGTGATAGATGCAAGAAGACACATTCGTTTATGGTTATGAATCTGGCAGTTTCGGATTTCATGATGGGTGTATACATGGTGATGGTCGCAGCAGCCGATCTTTCTTATGGTGAGACTTACTTCCGTGTTGCCAGCCAATGGCGGTCGAGTGTAGTGTGTAAGATAGCTGGGGTAATATCGGTCATGTCCAGTGAGGCGTCAGTGTTCTTTGTGACGCTCATCAGCATCGATTGTTTCTTGTGCATTGTGTTTCCATTCAGTCGCATTCACCTCCGGGAAAGGTCAACTAAAATAGTGGTAAGCCTGCTGTGGCTTGTGGCTATTTGCTTGAGCGTCGTTCCTACTTTCTCGGTCGGGCCCGATTCTGATTTGTATGGACTCTCTGATGTCTGTATAGGGCTGCCTTTCACTACCAAGTCGACGGGGCAAGACAACGTTAAATCTGAAGACATCCCAAATCCTCTGGGAAGCCAGCAACTAACTCTCATTGTTGGTACTGACAAGAAACCGGCCTGGATCCTGTCTGTGGTTGTGTTTCTCGGCGTCAATCTAGTTTGCTTCTTAGTAGTTTTCTGTTGCTACGTCGCCATTTTTGTCAGCGTCAGACGTACGAGTAAGATGGTCAGAAAGAGCTCCCACCGAAACCGTGAAATCAAAATGGCGGTCAAGATGGCATTAATTGTGGGCACAGATTTCGCCTGCTGGATGCCGGTGATAATCATGGGCATTCTCTCTCAGACAAACACGATTGAAATTGGGGCTGATATGTACGGATGGATTGTTGTATTTATCCTACCTATCAACTCCTCACTTAACCCGTACCTGTACACGATTTACACAGCTTGTATGCCACCAAATACCAGCAATGGAAATAATACCTCTCACAACAAGCCTGACAAGAGGAACCCTAAGATAGGCTCGGTTGAAACTTTGGATATTCCCCTGTCTGACCTCAAAAGAAATTAATCAATTGCTCGCAATAATGTTCAAGAAATACAAATATAAATAAGAAAACAGAAAATACGGATATAAATAAGAAAATAGAAAATGTAATGAGAAAGGAAAATGAATATAATTATACAGTTTCGGTATGCAAACACATTCATACTGAATGGACGAACCGTTTCGCTAATTTTCACATTGAGTTTAATGTACAATACTCTAAAAACTTCAGCATTTGATTTCACGATTTTTCGCTCAAGCAGATCTTCGATCATAGCATAGACTATTGGAAACAATTAGTTGGATCTCCAAAATGTGAAATACACCTTAGAAATCTTGTGAGTCTAATTTTTATTCATTTTCAGAGTTGTCAATAGCTGTATTTTGTGTATGTTTTAGAATTACATGTATTTGTAAATCTCACAGATTAAGATCGAGTGGTCTCTGAAATTGTGGAGGAACATTCAGTTGCTAGAAGAGACGCAAAAAATGGATACTTGAGAGTTGAATAATTGAAGAGGCAAAAAGCAACACTTGTTTTCTTTGTAACTGTCAGCAGTCTCTTGCGATTGAATGACGAAGAAAAGGACTGTAACTCCTAGCTCAATATTTGAAAAAAAATCAAAACCATCCGTTTAGTCGCTGGCTTCACATTTTGTATACCTTTATTAACCCTTTGATAATGTGCCTAATGTACTACAAACTTGTGGCAGTAAACCAAGTAAAACGTGTTACATTCAGATTTTATTGCTGTACTTAAATTGAAGTACAAAATAGCATAGAATTGGTTCTATTGGCTTGATACACCACAGCAAGTAAACAAACGACTGTGCAAAGTTGATACAAAACACTTGAACTAAACAAACCAAAAGATCACTGGTGGAATATTCATAAATCCTAAATCGGAACTGGTTTCGAGAACAAGGAAAAAATCAATTAGAAGTGTATGAATTAAATAGTAATTTCTTATAATTACTTTTATTTATCTAATGAGTTCCAAAATTTCGGTCCTTCATATTTAATACTTTGTTGGGCAAGCCGGGTTCTTGTATACGGTAAATGGAATTGTGAGGCTTGGCGGGTCGAGTGAGAGTGGAAATCAGTATTCAACAATCGAAGGGTGCGTGTGTAGAACAACTTTTCAAGGATTTTTGAGAAGCATGACAAGACCGAAATAGCCCTATATTTCATCATTTCATTATTATCTAAATTCTTATGAACAGGAATGACTTTAGCAATTTTCAAGATGGCAGGTAGGACGCCGGTTGAGAGCAAAAGGTAAAAGATTTACGTAAGGATTTTGAATGTGCAGATATTGTCTTTTTAAGAACAAATGTACGGAGTCAAATTCACAACTGGTCTTGTTAGCTAGGTCTTTTACGGCATCACTGACTTTATCGTATGTAACTGGAGTGAGGAACATGATTTGAAAGGTAATCAGAAAATATAGTTGTGTTTTTGTGCATTTTTCTTGCTAGATTTGGGCCAATGTCAGCAAAATAGCTGTTGAAATTGTAAGCTATGAATACTTGACTGTAATTTAGGTTGCCATTTACAAGAATACTGGGAATATTATCGGATGGCTTATATTTACCAATAACACTGTGTTTTTAACACAGTTGTTTCCAGATTCTTCCTATGAGCAGCGGGATGGCAGCCACGACTGGCGTAATACTTAAGACTATAAACGCCGTGTCAAAGTTTCCAGTGGTGTCGTATACCCAATCTATAAATAGAGTGTACGAGAGTAAAATCTCAGCATTTTAAGTTTCTAGGAATGTTAATCTCCCATTAAGCTCAGTGCATGAGATATTAATGAAACACCCTGGGTGGATGTAGTCACCCGGTAAAACTGAGGTGTTAAATTGTCACGAAATTAACGCCTCCAAATTAACCACACAATAGCAGTATAGAGCCTGAAACGAAAAGGTCACGCAGCGAATTTCCAGAACCCTCGTGCAGCCAGCCTGGGGTGATTTTATATGCGACCGCCCAACTACGTTCGCCAAGTTTTGGAAAAGTATATGATTCATAACATGAACTAAACTAAGAAGTGCTCATGTCGGAATGTGATTCCTGTCTTCTTCGAGTATAGAAAAGTTAGCTTGAGATGGTTAGAAATTAATATATAACGACTGTTTACTTCCGGAATAATCGTTCCCATGTCTTCTTGTTCATATACTTGGCTCCAACGGAGTAGTTACGTGCGAATGAGAATGAATAACGTTGCCCAGTACTATCCACAGTGCATGGTTTATAAATTTGTTGGGCCTACTTGATGTACTTCTTGTCGCAAAGGTTACTTTAGGTTTCAGTGTCTTTCATAAAGCAGAATACTCCTTGAGTTTATATCATTAAGACTTGTTAACAGGAGAACTTTTTTTGCTCCTTTCACTTAAGACTACCTTAAAATAATTTTGTAACTTTGCGTCTGCATACGGGTATACCAAGATGAACTGATCATCATGTGTTTTAATTTTTCGAAAGTAAAACGACAATGTTTTGCACAATATTGCTCTTTCACTCACGCTTTATGTTTAGTTTCTAACTTAATATAATATCATAATAAATATTTCACAAAATGTTCTAAAAGTGTTCACAATAATAGTCTTACCTGGCATAAATCCTGCGAGTGCGCTACCCAAGACACACACAGCCCCAATCCACGAAAACGCACTTGTCAGTCTTCCAACACCCAACAGTTCTTTGGTGAGAACATCGCTGAGGCTATACAGCGCCGACGTGGACATGCCAAAGAAAACGTTAGCAAAGGCCATAGCCACTGCGTCTTCGAGCCATGGATCCACCACCAGCGACAGGGCCAAGCCTAGGCTGCTTACCAGTACTGCAGATGAGCACTTCAGAAGGCCTCTATCCACAAAAGATGCAAACAATATACATCCCAAAAAATAGCCTACGCCGGCAGCTGAACAAATCCCTGTAGCTATCTGTGGAGTAAGGCCCTTGGCTTGAAGATGGGAAACGTAAAACAGGAACCAGGCGGTGTTTACGAATCGAAGCCCAAACAGTATAGAACAAACTACCCAGAAATTGAACCGAAGAAGTACACCAAGGTCCATAGTTGAGACGGCATGTGCACAATAAGATTTGTCACTGGTGCTCTCATTACTGTTAGTTTCGTGGACATCACTCTGATTAGGAGGTATCTCGTACCGTGTTTTGTTTTCTCGTACAAGCACTGCGCAGATTACTGGATGGAAGCAGACTCCAGCGAGAAGCAAGGACGCTCCTCTCCATCCATAGGTATCGAGAAACAGCTGCATCATTGGCGCACAAGCCAGTAGAGAGATGACTTGTCCCGTGTGGCTTATTCCACTGGCCAGGGAATATCTCTTGTTAAAGTGGCATCCCAGAGCAACCTTACTCAAAACAATAGTAATTCCCAGCGCTGGTCCTAAAATATGGAATAACGTGGTAATTAAAAAAATGCAAATGACGTGCGTCTAATCACAAACCTAATTATGTAAATCTCAATACAACCATCTGAATTAATACACCACAAGATTTTTCCCGATGCGATAGGCACAAACCTTCTTCCGGTGCTAAGCCTGTCGATATGTGAATGCTCTAAGCTAGGACAAAATTTGAATGGCAACACTCCGAGCGCATCATGGAAAACCAAACTACAATGCAAAGTTTAGATACAGCCCTAACGACCAACAGTGCGTTCTACATAAATTGATGAACTCAAAGCTTTGCACAATGTGTGTTACATATCATTTTTAAGGAGTAAATATGTGCCAAGCCTGCATCAAACGTTAGTTCATAACAGGTCGAGCACACATTCCCGATCGTAATAAACTTTGGTCAGAAAGTAAAAAAAAGTCTGAAAGTTATAAATTGCCAACAATTTGAGAACAATTTTACTATTAAAGTTTTAAACACCCCAAACATTAGACACCATTATAGCAGATAGGTGTCAACGATAAAAGATCAGTATGACGTAATGTCCATCCTATTTTTCAACGGCAGCCCTTACACGTCCTTTAGTCTTAACTGTTCAAAGATTTGCATGAATGGAGATCAATCTACAAAAAAGTGCCATTAAATTTTTACCAAGTCAATTTAATTGTGAGAAATCCGTAAGGATGGAGTGGACATGCCGTACGCGTAATGGCCTTGTGGTTAAGAGCATTAAATTCGTAGTGGGTAGGTAAAGCCGCAAGTTGCAGGTTCGAATTCCAGCTTGGGCTTCATGGTGCGTGTGCCCCTGGGTTAGGCACTTTGTCACTCACTGCCTCTCCCCCATCCAAAAAGCGCTACACAAAAACCTGTTATAGGACGAGCGATTTGTACACACACCCGGTGCTTGCAAACACTAATGGGTTTGGGACAATTCAGCAATTTTCAGAAAATCTGTCACATGGTAGCTACCAGACACAACGATTCTCCCCAAATGGTCAGTATCTTATGTGGGGGGAACCATACCAACGAACACCGCATATATCTACAGAAAATGGTCGGCATGCTCAGCGAATTCCTAGCTGAACGCGCTAGAACCTGCACACAATGTCCCCCTCAACAAATCGTTCGTTTCCGTATCAAAAACACCACATTCTGCTCCTACATGGGCAGGTTCTACGCAATGCGATATCGTTCCCGAAATCAATGCAACATTTCGAAAGTGAGTTAACAAGCCCTAATAGTTCATGCATTATCACAGAATGTTGACATATTACAGATTCTTACCACTAACAAGGGCTAGAACAATGGCGATGTGAACAATGCTCGTAGCCAGCGAGACCAGCACGAAACCCAAACCCATTGCTGCTGTGCTACAAATCAGCACTCGTCCACTTCCAAACTTGTCTTGGAGAAGCTTCGTTACCAAAGCTGCTCAATGGGTAGAGAAAGTCATAGTCAGGGGTCATAGTTTATGCAGTCCATAGGCCTAACACATATGTTTAATTGCCACATTGCTTGAAACAATAATTACGAGCTGGACCTGTATAATTCTAATGAATATTCAATCGTATAAGCCAATCTCTGTTCCGAAAATTCAACATGCTTTTCCATTTTGAAAGCACACAGTGTCCGAAAGTGTGCAATAAACTGAAAATAAATTTTAACATAGTTCACTTATCGTAACAATCAGCATTATGACAAAGTTTGCAACCATAATGTATAAATTGTACTGGCATATTTTGACAACATAGGTTGCCTCTGGACGCCTTCCGAATTCAAAACAGTGTCGTTTTGAATAACGACTATATTGAGGATTGATATACCTCTGTCCTGAATAGTGTATTTTCACTGGCTCAGAACGATCACACGGACATCCAATCACAATACCATAGACTAGTGCCTATCTCACAGTGCCACGATGCTAAGAACGCTTACCAGACTTTCATTGGTCCATCTGCTACTTTCAACAAGGGCCGAATCCTAATTACTTGGCCACGGCATGAAATTAAGCATGAGTCTATGGTATACTGGCCGCATCCGATTTCCATAAAGTCATGCGTAATTTCAAGCCGCAGCCAAGACATTTTAACGCGGCCATATTACGATCAGCTGTTGGAGCGCTCCAATTTGCTTTCGACGACTGAATATCGTTTCTTTGTGTCAGTTCCTTGACATGATACCTGTCAAGCTCGAAAAAACACACACCTTCTCTTTCAAAATGGTTTTGGAGACGTAAGGATGTTGCTTTCAAGCCAGACACGTGCATCCAACACAATTACTGACCAATCGCCGTTAGCCATTTTCCCAGACATCCCCTATGGAATTTCGTACGTTGAGTTTTGTTTGTCTCAGCTTGTGTGTGTCCCACGTCCATTTAGTGTAGCGAGCGCGGATGGACCGTGTGCTAAGTGCGTGATCAGTCTTTGTAAAGGTGCTTGCTATGCAACTAGTGCTTAGATATGCGGCGTGGTTGCATTCCTTCTTCCACTTCATGTCGGTTTCCAAAAAGAAACGCAGAAGGACGCAGGTATGCTCACTCCACAGACATCCACGTATGCTCGGGCCCCATGCACTGTGCATGCATTTAGTTTGTGTATCTGCGCATGCGCAATAGTGACATAATGGTCGTCGGCATGAAAAATTATTCTAGCTGACGACGCGTATCGGTGGTGACCCATGTGAGGGATTTGTACTGCCATTTCCCTTGAAGACCTTGTGTGTGAATAAATCCACAAGAGTCTATGAATTGGTGATATTTAACAGCTTCTGGTAAGAAAGATCACCGGAAAGTAATCAAAGAAAGTGGAAAATGTCAATTTTACGACAAAGTATAGGCCTAATTATGAAAAATTATCTTTTTAAACTTAACTTTGTGTGTAATTTTCACAATATTGCCGAGTTTACCTTCAAATAAATTTGGTTCCACATGAAAGACTAGTAACTCTTATGTACAAAAAAGTGTTTACGTCTAGGAAGTGCAAGTTGTGCAAGTTGGTGACGAGCCAAACGCAGCACATGCATTTCGTAATATAGTCGTTCGTGAACCAGCTACGAGCAGTTCTCACCAAAGGGGTTTCCGTTGCTTGGAAAATCGCACCCTCTCTTGGCCCATAGGAAATTTATGCACAGGTGAATATAAGTTCGATTGCAAAAAACCTTCTCTGTGTATTTGGCCCACACAGATACAATTTTAAACAACTGCAACATTTGAAGCGAACAGGTGGTACCAATATTCGATAATGGATGCTGTGTAAAAATATCATTTAACCTGCTATATCTGCTGTGACTCCCATAATGGACACGGCTATTCCAGTCAACCAAGTGTAGTCAGTGAATTGGTCTGTCAATGCTGGAAGAAGCACACCCAAACTCTTGAACGCTCCTCCCCATACCACGACAGCGCTGAAGGCCATCAGCAAGACCGAAAACCCTCTCTTATTGAACTCTCTGGCGGTTTCCATCACGAAAATCACGAAAAACAAGCCCACTGCAATTGTTTGTGTTCTCAGTTCGGTATAGGCCTACGTGCAGCCTTGGATGTAGTTATAAAAGTTCAAGTTCTGTCAACATGCATCAGGCACATATATCTGCCGCACGAACATTGAAATGATCAGGGACGAAAGAGTAGACTTTGGCCGAGCTATTTCTCACTTATTATTGATTTGATCAAGTGGTACAAAGCGTACAAATGATAATCGGTTCAAGAACAGATATGGTGCCGTCCTACGCCTATGATCGGTATTATAACCCAACAGGTTATATAGATCGACACAAGAAGATGTCTTGGGATAAAGTTGTACAGTAGTTGATGTGGTTTATTCGGCTGGCTCAATGTACGTCTCTCCCTGATTGTCAGATCTCATATGGATTTTATACATTTACTCGACATTCCTTTTTTCATCCATCATACAAGTTTCCTTGCCTTATCAGGTATTGGCTACTAGTCTTTTGAATATTAATACAGCGTGAATGAACGTGTTTGGTTCATTTGGATTTCAGGGTAGGGCTAGTCAAATTAATGAATACTGACTTTTCCTTAGAAGGCGGGTGGAATACCTCAATGGCCCTTCCGGTCCAGCCCTGCTTTCCTCCCCAAGGGTCTTGTGGTTAAACTAGCCATTCCTTAAGTGAGTCTCATTACTTGGAAAGCGGTTCTACTCTTGAATGTCAATCCGTGCAACTTAAATAGCAATACAACATGTGCTATTGTAACACAGTGATAGTATCATTAACAAGTTCCCTGATTTAGGACTATAAATTTTGCACATGCCAGACCGTATGATTTGGGTCTAGGTACATGTTCTCTGTTCAGCATTTCCTAAGGCGATATGCGAGTGGTTTGTTCATAAAGAAGTTCTGAACATTTGGCGGTAAATAAGTGCCAAAAATAGGCGTCAAAGAACCCAAATATTTCTGGTAAATCATGTGAAAATACGCGAGGGGGCTTTTCTTTTTAAAGCCAAATTTCAATAGTCATCTTTATTTATCGTCTTTATTTACATCTATGAAACATTAGTATTAACTAAAGTTAGGGTTTGTTTTTTTTGCGCAATTCACGAACGAAAGCGGCGATATTACGGAGAGCGCGCCGTCAGGCTTGTGGTCAGAGCTGAAGATAATTTAGTTCCGACAGTCTGGTATCTAGAGGTTTCGGGTTAGAAGCTAACAATAGCTGTAGTTTCAGAAGCCTCTGTGTATCAAATGTTCTGTGAACTGTTAAAATCGACAAATATAAGTGTCCTGAAATCCAGAGGTTTCGATGCTGAAAGTATAAATTAACTTTCCAGTGAACTTTGTTCTTGAGTCAGCGTTTGTAAAAAATAGACTGCAACACGTAGTTGACGTGAGCTTCGAACTGCCAATATGGAAAACTATTTAATGCTTTCCAAAGTAAATTCACAGGTCAAAAGATCGCCTCTAAGATGTGTTCATTGAAATGTTCGTTACTGCAGGCCTGTGTAGGTCTGGTGAATTAGCTTTTAGATTATACTTCAGATCAAGTCATCACCCTTTACAAATAAAATGAAAACGAATTCATTTTTGCCATGAAGATAGCCTCACCATTATTTCTGAGGGTTGCTCTGCGAGGTTGGTACTTTTTGCTGGTAATGAGGACAAGGTGACGAACGATCCATAACGTTTTACTGATTCATAATTCAAAGATATACGAGCAAGGCTGCGGCTGTCTCGGTTGACATTTAAAATGGACCTCTCTTGCCAACGTGCTCGTCCAATTAGTTGTAATTTTAGAGAGTAATTTCAATCGTGTTTTGTCTGAAAATGCTTTACTTTGGGGTGTCGTTTGGCAGAAAGTGATAAATCGACGATATTGTAATCCACACAAGTTACTACAGCATGCCTTGATAAGAACATTCCTCAGCTACAAGTTAAATCACACCTTGTCTCCTGTAATGCATGGGAGGGTAATTAAACTTAAGGTATTTATAATGGACCCGTTTGGAGTATTTTTCTGGATTCTTCATATAATTCCGCCTTGCGACGAACGAAGTCATATTTGGGTTTTGCGCTATGGGTTCGAACCGATAGAAATTAGCATTAAGCTTGGTTGACAAGGTAGTGGCGAGAGATTCTTGTTCAATTCTCTCCTCCCCCTCACGTCTGCATGTGGAAGCCTCCTACCCCTCCCATCGCTTCTCCATCGGGCCAGTCCTTCACTTGAGCACGACTGATATCTTGAGGGCCCCTTCCCAAAGAATAAAGTGAATATGAAACCACAATGTTACCATTCTGTCTCAGTTTGCATTAGAAAGAGCAAGCGAACTCGGTTTTAATGTATCACTCATTTTGGCGTCCAGATTTTAATGGCCATTGTTATGGGTGCAAATGTTGAGGCTTCCAACTGATTTCTTAGCAACAGATTCTTTAGAAAGCCTGTAAACTCAAAAGTAGCTCTGGCGACTTCATTTGCACAGAACAGTTCACCACAATTTTGTTAAATTTCATTAAATTGGTGTTAGTTTCTACCTTTAACCGTGTAACATACATTTAATTTGGCCGTCAGGGCACGAGATGTATGCAAAACAATAAAACCTAAACCACAAATTAAACAGTGGACAACCTTGGAACGTCCATGCACTGAAACCGTGGATACTATTGCGACGGTCATGAATATTTTCACGGATGATCTGCGAAACAGACAAGATCAGCCTTGGCCAGAAAATACGAATACCTGCAGAAGCCGATTATGCATTACTTGGTACAGTCACTCCCTTGCATTCCACATGATGGAGAACGCGTTATCATATTCTCATACAAACGTTTCTGAGTCTTGCATAAGTGCACTGTGCGTTTCACAGGTGGCTGTCGTGTGCTTTATCACGTTGTTTTTGTTGGCGGGAAATGTGGGAATATTGGCGGTGCTGTTTGCCGCTCCGTCCCTGCGTAACACCCACGGCTACCTCCTGGCATCGTTAGCAGTAGCGGACTTGGGCACCGGGTTGGTGTCTGCCTGGGCTGTGTATCCGTCCGTGACCCATGCCTGGCCCTATGGCGACACCGTATGCCAGCTCGTGGCTTTCTTCCAGGCAGTTTTCGCGCTAGCTTCCAATATGACTTTGATACTCCTGAGTGTCGAGCGATACATCGCCGTCGCTCATCCCTTCAAATATGCCCGACTGGTGACGTCGCGAAACGTCCTCATTTGCATCTTTATCGTCTGCTGGTCGCTTCCAATCATATTTTACGACGGTTTTATCTTGATACGTTCACATTATCAGTTCACCGAGGAGGTCCGAGTCTGCACTCCAGCTTATGGGGATCGTTTCGTCTACACACTTGTCGGACTGCTGGTCTTCTTTTTCCCGTCTTCGCTCGTCGTCGGCATCACGTCGGTCAGCGTGCACCGATCCCTGACGCGTCATCTCAAGCAGCGTGAATCAATGCTAGCCTCGGCAGTGCCAGGCCCGTCATCGATTTCATTGCCAACAACATCGACATCTTCGCCATCACCGGACAGTGGGCGGCCATCGCGGCCCTCCAAACAGGAGCTGAAAATGTTCCGCCTGGTCCGAATCGTGGCACTAGCATTCTACGTCTGCTGGGTGCCCCACTTGGCAGTGGGACTTGGCTTCCTGGTGGCCGGAAAGCCAGCCCCACCTAACCTGACTTTCTTCTTGTACTGGCTTCGCCTGTCCGGCGGTATCTGCAACTTCTTCATCTACTTCCTGGGGAACTCAACCTTTAGGCGCACAGCAACTGAAAAAATGAGATCCTGCTGCCGTAGTTGTAGCGGAACAAGCCAGTCTTACTCTATAGAAAATCGTGGGCGTCAGGAGGGAGGCATAGCTGTGACGACTGTATCTTAACCCCCCTTAAACAAAACAAAAGAACGTCTCCGGAAACTTCGATTGAACTTTAGGACAAGTTGTCGCCATTTTCACAAAGAAATGGGATGTCGAGTTGGACAACAGGAAGGGATTATAATCTTGTTAACTTGCACGTCCGATGATTTCCCCTCTAAAAAGGCACAACTTTTGGGGCAACGTTTTGCCGATTACTTACACTGTCGTAGTCGAGACCACCGCAAGAGCTTTCTCAAGACCAGACACGAGACCATGCACAAGACCATTAAGAAGACCAGTCACAAGTAACAGGGTGAACAATGACAAAAGGAATGCTTTTGTTGCGTTCATTTGAAAAGCTTGTGACTTGAATTCAGATGGAGTTCTTGTGTTGGTCTTGTGACGGTCGAAGAGGTCCCAACTGCAACAATGATTATTCACACATATCGGTACATCTCAAAAAATAGCTTAACGGATTCTCGAGCCCCTCAGGTGTGCATGAAGATACTGTAATCGATGATCCCTACGTGCTAGCGAAGGTGATAAACATAGATGAACATCCAATCCCTGTTTTGAAATGGAATGCTAAGACGGCCACGGCCGTATGAAAGAAAGGTAAACGCGGGCATCTGCAGAGCGACATAGTACCCCCCCCACACACTTTTTTAATGGAATTATTCCCACTTTTTCATGATGAGAAAAAAAATAATGCAGACATAGGAAAAACGTTTTGGACTTCTCAACAACCAAAATGTACTCAATATTACTCAGAAAGGGAGAACAAAATGTCATAAATATGCCGTTCTGATGTAAGATTCTGCATGAATGTAATATATACAGGTAATATACATCTACATCTGTTTTAGCCACAAATTAACACCGCTGGCTATATATGAAATTAACATGTTATATACAGAAGCTGCCAGACACCGCTTCATTCCATTTTCCAAAGCTTCACGTGTGTTATTTCTGGCTCACTTTTGCTACTTGGGTTGGTGGTTGTGCCTCAAAAATTAGTGTTTATTTTTTGTATGCTGTATCTGGTTGTAAAGGCCATTTCCCCTCGGTGTGATTGATTCAAAAACACGATTTTAAAACCCATTAGATGGTTACGGTTAACAGCCTTACCGAGCCACTCCAACATGAACAAAAAGGGGAAATTTGGGCCTGTTACAAGGTGGTTATAAACTCACTTTAAATTAAGTTTCAAAAATGTAATATACACTGGAACTGATAACACCAAGTGCGCGTTAATTCGTTGTTACTCTGTCAAATCGGAAAACGTGAGAAAACGTTCCAATCTTGTGGTTACATCTTGTGGAAAATAAAGGAACCCATGTCAGGCTGGTTTCATTCCAACTGGCGCTTCCATGCCTTTTAAATTTACAGTTTCTGAAAAGTCTCTCTTCTCGCTGAAACATATCTACGCCCTGCCTTCGACTTTTTGGACTGCAATGCCATTCTTCAACCGTGGAGGTTGTGGAGGAGTCAAGTGTGGAGGAGTAAACAGCGCCCTCAACTGATGCTTGCATGCACGAACAGGGGAACTAATAAGACCGAAAATCCTGTCGGTGGGCCAACGTTGTAACAATTAGCGGTTGTATGTTGTTTGGGAGAACAGTCCATCAAAAAATTTAAACAGCCAAACGACTGTTCCTCATCACTCCCTCGCTGAAAATACTATTTTAAAGAAGGGGGAAGGTGACATGGAGGCGCACGGTGGCGCTGTACACTTTGCTAGCACTGACCAACCCTAGTGCGCTGGCCACTGCAACTCTCTTTGAAAGTACTCCCTTTGGATAAACGCTGTCCATCCAGTGACCCGGGTCAACACTTTCACCAGTGCACGACATGTGTGTATACAGAATTCACGTACATACCTGCGTCCGATTCAATGGGCTACGACTTTGGGGGCCCTTGAGTAACACGCATGTTTACGGCGATTGGCTGGAAAAGCTAGCCACTAGCTTACTGATAGGTCTACGTGTCCTGCTCAACCGCTGACATAATTTTTTGACATCTTTTCAGGGGATATTATCGGCCTCAGAGAAGAATTAGCATGCCCACATTCCTGTGTGTTTCCTTCAGAAAAAAAAAGTCATGAGAGAGAGTACGGTACCCTCTCGTAACTGCCTTTTAATAAAGCGGCTGGTATGATCCAAACAAAGATTGTTAGGCTGCACTTGCCATTCCCCTTATGACTTAACCTCTGCAAAAAAAAAAAGGCGAATACAAATCCAAGAAAACAGACCATATGAAAATGTAACCTTTATTTCTGAAAACAAAAATGTAATAAACGTCGGAGACTGTGATTACACTTTATGAAACATGAAAACTGATCAAAGAGAGGGAAAACAAACTCCTCCGTAAAAATCCCCCTTATCGAGGCACAAAAGATAAGAAATCTTCGCCTAGGTAACACCTATGAAACTATGAAACAAACCGTTGTTTTTCGTTGCTTATATCGATAATTTGTACATGAATGGGTTCAAATGTATCACAGTATTTTACTGGATCTACGCACTTGATGTTGTAAGGCCAGTTCCTGGATTGAAAAGGAGTTTACCTTTTTACGTATTGAATTCTGCTCTCTGCGTCAAAGCCCCTACAGCTGCTTTGGAGACCCGGGTCGATGACACGGTCACCGCATCACCATTCTCCACGCATCGTTTCGATTTCAGCTTTGCCTCATTCATATTGCTATCTACCGTAGATAGCACAGTTTTGCATAGCACGCAGCCAACCAACCAGCTTTTGTGTATGCACGAACGCATCAGCAGGCCGCAGTGAATAACGAGGTCATCCAGCACGGGTTTCATTACGACGTGCGGACAGCCTGTACTGCCTCGCCGTAGCGACACGCGCTCACCGTCCCTTTGCTAAATGTTCTATGCACAGATCGTTGACATCGGAAATTTACTAATTGGAAAAACACACACACTTCAGTTGTGCTGCACGGAGAGCGGGCTGCACAACTGCGGGGAACTCGAGCGTTAGTGCACAGTGGAATATATCATGATCGACAGGCGGGAATACGACTGATAAAAGAGGGGGGGAAATGCAAAATCGGCTGGGAGCGCACACGTGCGGACACTTGGTGAGTTCCCACTTTACCTAAGCAGGCTGGACGCGTTGTTTACTGAGTTCTGTCGCCTGTCACTTCAGGGCCGATAAGGGATCGGGACGGGGAGGATGCATCCGCCTCAGACATTCACGCCGAAATGATTCGTGTCACGCGAGTTCGGAGTGGAATCGCCGTCAAATTAACGGCCGATGCCCTGGCAAAACTGCGACAACGTCCAATCTGATTGTTCAGCTCTGTACAGAGGCATGCCATCAGGCAGTACAAGGATTTTCTAATACTCGGTGAGCTTGCGTTTCGTGGGTGCAGAGACAGAAAAAGAGTCTGAGCGATATACACGCCGGAGGAATGCCCTCCGTACGGCTTGGTTCTGTCGTTGTGCCGGCACGACCGCGCCATTCTATACACCTACCGCCCCGAGTCAGGATTTCACAAATAGCATAATATCCCCGAATCAACGTGCATTTATGCAGGTAGGTCGAGGCAGCGAGAGAGAAAAACAGACACAGAGAGGGAAAAAAGCTGGGTTGGTACGAGTGCAATGTACTGCTGTCCCGCTATACGGCTCTCCAGCTCAGGCTTTGCATCATTATCATCATCATGAATGTCGCTCGTGTGCCATGAATACTACATGTTGTGAGCTATGCGGAGGACAGGCGAGAGCGAGCGAGCCACGGTGAATTTAGTCCACGCAACACGTCCGCACGCAGGGAAAACACGACACGGGGTCTACGACGTCGAGCACTGGTCAGAGGCAAATACGAGAAAGAACTGGGTATATCATCTTCAGCTGAATTTGGAATAATAAGCTGTCGCTGGTTCCCCCTCTGTGGATGGTCGCCCTTGTCTTCCCAGTGGAGTTACCAGCTATCGGGGGTAGCATGAAGCCTGGTCACATCTGAGTGTGAAGAGGGAATTAGGGGGTCCGTGAGGATTTGTGACAAAATGTCGCCTCACGCTTCCCTCACCGTGCTCGTGTGTGTTTACTTGCTTGTCTTATGTCATCACGGGAGTTTTGCCGGAGATCATCACAGTGAATACCGTAGCGGGTTAGCAAAAGTCATCCCTGGACCGAAACGTATTGTGGCACTAAATAAAAAGACCCAAGACGGTGCTGTAGATGCGGACCGAGCAGGAATTACACACAGAGAACAAGGGAGATACGACTTACTGAAAAAGAACACACGAATATGGGCAAAAGGTCACCCTGTTTTGTTAAGCAATCAGCAACGGGTGGATTATTCGAGCAAGAACGATGTCTCTAGTCAAAGTGGAAGTTACTTTGGCTTAGACGTCGACGGGAGGACTCCAGTAAGTCCCCAGGATGTCCAATCCTCACATAGAGCGAGACGAACATCGACGAAGGATGGAAGTGTTGGTCCGAGTGGGCCTAAGAGAGGGCCCAGTCAAACACAGCAGGCGCTTTTGCTGTTTTTAAACCTTGTGAAAAATAACGGCTTGCATGGTTCGGCAAGCAAACTCTGCCAGGAGGGAAGTGTGGCAGCCATGGCAGCCTCTGATATTGGATTAAATCTAACGAGCGATTTTTACAGTTCGTTCAGCAGCAATTCAACAGCGGCCGTCTACACCGCCAATCTCCTCAGCAGCATCTACTCAAGGCTGAGGTCGAACTCCAGTGTGTTTTACAACGCCAATTATCTGTTTGCTTCCGTCAGGAATAACGTGGAGAATTACCCTTCAGTGTCTGGGTCATGTGTGGCCTTCGACGGCTACAAGTTTTCCGACAACACGCAGCTGTACTCCCCGTGTGTCCAGGTCGACGACACCGGCGCTCTTGTCGAACATGACCTGGGGAAAATATACGACTACACTGCTCCCAGTTCCGCCCATTACACGGAGTGGTTCACAAGATTTAAGAGCCCCTTGGTGCAGCCACCGGAGATCCGGTGGGGTAGCCTTATACCTCGGCTGAATGCAACCACAAATGGTAGTCCCACGAACACATCCTATGCGTTTGTTGGAGAAAATGATGGTTCGTGGGGGCCACCGTACTTAGACTGCAACAGGACCGACCGATGGCTGGTCACCTACTCGGTTCCGTTCTTCGATCACAATTTAAGTTTCATGTGAGTACAAAATATCTAATTTGACCTCCACTTTCACCACTCCTACTGTTAATGTTCTACATACCGCTTCAGAATTATTGTCACCATACTAAGTTTTCTAAGTTGTTTTATAAATTCAGTGTAACCTTGCGAGGAAGAATTTACGAGAAACAAAATTAGAGTAATTTAAGTGTGAATTCATATTTTAATTGCCCTAAAAATTGACAAAAGATACCAATTCTTAAGGACGGGGATATCAGTGTTATGTGCCAAAATGAACAAAACATTACAAAAAACTGGTTTTACTTGTTTAGTATATCTGAACCTAGAAATACTGTTTGAAATCAATAACATTTTTTTAAAATTTAAATAGTGTAACAGTAAATTTCATGTTTGTTGACTGACTTCCGCTGTTCTGTACTGTACTGCACCTCTGCGATACTAAGAAAAGTGCACTTCGTTAACTCACCTTGTTCGCCAAGAAAAACACAGTCGGGCAGAGGCACCAAATATACCTCATCCCTGGCCATCTGACGTCATGGCTTTGCTTAGAACGTTGACCGGTAAGAAGCAAGGCCGCGCTTGCAGGGTGCACATTCAGGTCAACTCAAGCAGCGGAATTTTAAACGTGCAGTTGCTGGGGGGCGGGAGGCTGCACATTCATGAGGCTGCGGTGTTTATACATAATAAACCGCCATGGACAATTTTTACGGAGAAAAAAAGGTCTTTGAACAGGCAATCCGTTTTCTTCTGTGACAAACAAGCGTTGCAATTTTCGGGCAAAAAATAACATTTCATAATAAGAGTAACTAACTTGACATTTTATTACAGTAAAAAGTTCAGCTAAAAAATGAGTTTGTCCTACTACATGTATGAAGGAATTCAGTACGGAGTTAGGCCTTGGCCTATTTTAGTCATATTATACATCAAGACGCACAGTCTTTTCCTAAAGGAAACAGTATACCTACAGGATTAACTGATCATCGACTTTGATTCGTTTTGTTTTCATAGTCAAGATTGCACAGTCATAAGCCTTTTTGGTAAGATTAGAAGACAGGATCACAGTCAAGTGCAAAGAGCATATGTTTTAAGGTTTAGGGTCTGTAGAATCATGAAAATGTAAAGTGGGGGGGTTCAAAATATTCAATGCCTGGAAGGACTTTTATTCTGATAGAATGATTATGAATTCGACTAAGCGGCATTATAAATTTCAAAAGCAAAGTGCTTTCTTCGCAACCATGGATAAAGGCCTCTGATACTTCATGCGAGATGTAGCGCATCGACTCCACTCGACTCCAATCGACTCAACTCTTTCAATTCGACTCGACTTCATCTCAACTCGACTCAACTCGACACAACACAACACAACACAACACAACACAACATAACACAACACAACAACACAAATGAACTCAACTCAACTCAACCCCACTCAACTCAATATTTTGAGCGCTTGATGGAGGTTTGGGAGTAATATCAGACATCAATTAGCAAGGGAAATACAACCCAACTTTAGCAAACCGGTCGGAAATATTCGCTTGATGAAGGGGCTACATTTCGGTCACCATTAAATGAATTTAGCTTCTTTTCTTAATTTCAATTTGAGACTCAGGCCTCTTCCTGCGAGATCGCGAAACATACGTTTTATCAGCTTCCAATTGGTAAATGCATTCCGCATATAATTGAATGAGATTGGATCCAGTCAGCCTTGACATGATTAAATTAGGTTAATCATTACAGATAAAAAAAACTACCATGCACCACGCGCAAAATTTCGAGCAATGCTGTGTTGGCCTAGCTCCCGGCAAAAGCCAGCTTGGTAAACCATTAGCAATGTGTCCGCGGCGTTGAATTTTTTGGCACAGTGCTTCGCAACCAAGTGGACATTAAACTCAAACCAAGCCAAGTGGCACTTCTGATCATGGAAGGGTACCTAGCATCGGCAGATGATTTTGGTGGGGGTTAAGATTAGGCTTGAAGCGTCCAGCCCATTGCTACTCCTTCGGTATGTCAGTATTTTGATGAGAGTTGGTTTGCTCTTGTCTAATCTGGTTTAGGTTGGTCTCCTTGGTCTGGTCTGCTCTAGTAAGGTCTGGTTTGGGTCGGGTTGTCCAAGTTATGAGCTTGCTATGGTGTGGTTCATGTATTAAATGTCTGTTTAGTTTGGTTGGGCTTGATTTATCCAAGTCTTTCTGTTGGTGAGATGAAGCCCCCGGGACGGATTTTAACTTCAAGATTCAAATCACCTCAGATGAGACCTACAGGGTGAATGCTCCCCTTTTCTGTTTCAGAAGCATCATCAGATGTTAAATAGACGTTCGAAATATTTCTGGGTAACATTCATCTCAGATTCAGAAAAAGGCAATACAGCTGGGAAGCTTTAATATGGACGACGAAAGACGCCAAAACTGCGGTGGCAAAGCACTCACACGAGCGTTCTTAAACTTGGCGCGTGCGTGCATTTGGTAACATCGCGACTCCTTATTATCCGTTTCCAGTTGCGTAAAATAGGTTTGGGTATGTGTCACGTGCCATTCACTTAAATTTAGCGCCCACTCGTGAACAAGCATTAACGAACAACCAATTTTGTGTGGGTGTTGAGAGACCAAGAAAATGATTGGTCACATATAAAAAAATGTCATTAAAAGACATAGCTTGTTTAAATCTACCTGCGGCAAAATGCCGAATTGTTACCAAGCTAATCCTTGCGTAAGCCTTTTATTCCTCCATTTTCTTTGATAGTTTTATTTTATTTGAAGATGTTTACATAGATTCACTCGAGGTCCCGTATGATTACCATCAATCACTGCGATTAATTTGCTTGGTACAAAGTAGTTTTTATTATTATCGCTAATGGGTCATTAGGGAGACATTCCCATAAGAACGTGCACACAATTTGTCCAACTTTACTGTCCCATAATTCAATATTCCCGAGTCTGATCTGAACGAAACTTTGTATGTTTTCATTTTAGACCCTAATCTATCATCTGTCAAAATATGGAATGTAAAATTTGGCCTCCTTCTGGTAGTTTGAAAATAGGGAGACACTGAAATGTCTCCCTAAAAGCCAATGTCTCCCTAATGCTGAAAAATTTACCACAAAATGACCTATTTGCAAATATTGACATTATGCCTATCTTGATTATCACACCCGTGGTTGAAAAATATCGAATCCGTTCCAGAGATACAACGAGAATCATGTGACCTAGAAGCCTACACCAAGGGTATGCGTCACTCATCAGTGCTGAATTTCACCAATCACATTGATTCTGCATTAATCATGTAAAAAAATAAATAACTTGGAATCAATTACCAACCTTCCCGTCTAAACTACGATGACTTCCATAATAGGCATAATGTCGCGCGCACGGTTGCCGTAAATTTGATTAATTGAACGCTGACGAACAAAGCCAAAGGCATCCGGAGAAACATGCATGGAACGCGGGCTTATTTTCATATCAAATGGTTATTAACGAGGCTAATGAAAATGACCCACAATAGTAGGACCTGCACTTTGGTTAGCATCCTAAAAAACAGATGAAACATTCATTATATATGGGCGGCCAACGCTACGGCCATAACTGCTGTGAAGGAACGAGATAATTACACATCTTAAAACTCGGCTGTCTACAGTATGAATGAAAATAATGGCAGGAATGGTACGTTGCTGGAATTCATATTCTCTCCACAATACAAGGGAAAGGAAACGTGGCTGAGAGTAATTTCCAGATGTTTCCTGCAAGCTGAGACAACATCATGAGACGTAAATGAACTCAGTGTGACGAGATATGGAGAAAAACATTTAAAAAGAAGCTTTTTTAAGTAAAAGCTTATTTTACTATTAACTACCAACTGCCACGAAGTGTTCCTTGGTAATGTCGACCAAAATTACCCGCATACACATTGAACGTGGCACCTGTCATACTTGATTAAACCAAGCCATGATTGAGTAGTCCAGCGGCCAAGCAAGGGTTGCGTGGTTGCATTCTGTTGGTGTGACGGCAAGTATATATATTTTGAAGGACGTATTGTTTCCCTTAATTGTCATTTATAGCTGCACTTTGGAATGTAAGTACTCGAATGTTTCGGTTTTCATGAGTTGTGATACGATTCTACATTGGTGTTCAGGTTAGCATACTGTAAACACACCTTCGGGATTTCCATGCGATAAATTAGTGTGACCAAACTACCCGAAAACCTGTGTTTTTGTTCTACGTCTCAAATTAAAAAAAAAAATCTTGAACAATTGGAATCATTGAAAACTAGCAACATTTCTATCAAAGTTCACAATATAGAATGACAAAGAATGTCAAATATCAAATAGTTATTGACATGTGCCCTTTGAACGGATACGAAAAACAATCAAAGGAAGGACTTCTTTAATGAAATCCACTTGAAATTTTGCCACAACACAAAATTGCCTTGAAGTTGCGAAATTAGAAGAAAAACTTGAAAATAGCCAACCTCCTCCATTTATGATTAAAACTGCCTCGATATTGTCAACAGTGACCCCTGTTGGTAGCTAGAGGTGAACGAAAAAGATAAAGAACTTACCCACTTAACAACGGTTTTAAGAAAGTTAAAATTTCACTCTGAAAACTGTGTATAGCATTTCAACACATTTTCCATCCCTCTGTAAAGGTGTTTAAATCCAAAACATTTGATTGCCATTTGCTAAACACCGATGTCTAGTGGCTAAACACTATCCAAGCAAGTTTGGCATCGAAAGTTGTTTACAAACTGATAGCAAGAAAGTCTTTAGAAAGTGCCTAATGGCTAAACCTAGTTTCTGCAGTGCTCCAAAGCATGGACGTCGCCAGGATTTCTTCCGGGAGGACTTTTTTTCTGGGTAGGGGAATTTCCGGGAGGCAATGCGCTCATCGGCTAAAACAAGCAGCAATCAATAGCGCGAGCGGGGCAATTTTGAGGTCTTTTTGAAAGCAAATGAGTGCTTTATATCCCTTTATCTCTATTTTAGTTTATTTTTTCGCCCCCCCTTTTTTTTCTTTTTAATTTTTCAA